AGTAGTAGTAGTAGTAGTAGTAGTAGAAGCAGTAGTAGCAGTAGTAGCAGCAGCAGCAGAGTAGGAGTAGGAGTAGGAGTAGTCGTCGTCGTCGTAGTAGTCGTGGTAGTTGCTGTAGTAGCTGTAGTAGCTGTAGAGCTGTAGTAGCTGTATCTGTAGTAGCAGCAGTAATTTAAAGCCTCTAATATACGTGGGTTTTGGTCACTGCTCACATGTGCACATGTAATGTACAAAGTGCATTTAGATGACATATATGATAGCATTCATATTTATACATTACATGACATTGCAGATTGTGCATATGTATGCTGATTGCATTAACATGTACTATATACATATATATATATATATATATACACTATCATAATCACTATATATATATATATATACACTACATATATTACATATACACATGTAGATATATTTACATGCATATATACTCATATAGTATCTATATATGTATATATATATATATACGTATAAATTACACGTGTAATTGTATAATAATATTATTATATACGTATCATAAATACTCAAAATATGCACATATCTCCAAGCTTCTGCCGCGCCACACTGTTCCACATCCAGGGCGACTTCCGAATCGTCAGTTCTTCAGAAATAGCATAGCCCAACATGAGCACGACGAATACCATCGTAGCCATTCATAACCATTGAAAGAAATACTGATAACATCTGATAACCATTCATCAAAAGTGTTCAATCATTCACTCTCACAGCATTTCCCTTCCATTTCCACTTCCCAGTGGCATGTTCCTGATCTTTCTCTTCGGCATAGATCATGCGGAGCTGATTTGCCACACTTTGGCGCCAAAGCCTGGTGAAGACCCAGATCCTATAGCTTCTATAGGTGCAGTGTGTGTTCAGTTTTTGTACCTTCTAGATATACTAATACAAATTGTTAGACACAGCGGAGAGGTGCAGGCTCGGTCGACAGCCTTTTGGTCACGCCATGGGACATGAAATCGAAAGTGTCCACCAGGTCTAGGGCCCCTGCAGTTTGAGGCGGAACGACCGCACATGTTCAAGGTCAATGATCGCTCACTGAATTGCACATGTTTTCACAGCTCCCCAATTTTCTGTTGACCTTGAACGTTCGTTCCTCTTTACGCTGGTGCATTTGATCTACCTCTGCCGCTATGCTAAAAACGCCTGAAGAGAGCATGTCAAATAGAGCTCTCGTCGCTCCCCTGACCTTCGTCAAAGGATCCGCGAGCATCGCGGGATGGTCTACCCATCGGATACTTGCATTGAGCTGATTCAGCTCTTGTCTAATTATTTGAATCTCTATGGCGGTTCTCTTGTCTTGACCGCCAATCGTCTCCTTGGACAAGTGGTCATACAAACTTTTCGCATCTACTATCGCTAGACACTCTTGCAGCCTCTCACTCGTAGAATCTCTCGCAAACGCTAGGGTCTCTTCTCCTGCTAAAAGCGCTGGCCATTCTTTGATGTTGAACTTTTCGTCAAGCAACTCTTTGAACAGCACCTTCATCCATAGTAGATCCCCCAAACCCTTGGATAAACTCTGAGACTCCGCCGCCAAAGTGGAATTTACCACCCTTTGAAGCTTTGCACTACGCCACCATAGCAGATTTGACTTCACCTTCTCGCCTGCCTTCAAACCTGGTTCATGCGCCAAAATCATCTGACCTCCTTGAGAGTGAAATTCATCATTTCCAAATGAAGCATCTGTGACGACCGCTAACTGCATGTTGGACAAAGGTTGAATCTTCAATGCCACCTCAGCGGACGACTTCAAGTTTCGAACCACCTCGTTCAATTGGATGATATCTTCCACTACCAATCTGGTCAAGCGAGATGACATCAAGCTCGATGGACCAGCCGCATCTGGACGACCTTCCTTGCACAACCAGTTCAATGACCCGCAAAGAGCACGTGCCTGCGCTCTTTCTTCCTCCGTCACAAGTTCTTTCTTCTGACTTTTCCTACCCTTCTGCAAAGGAATTTCTTCTAACCTTTCTTGAATGAACTTGCACATGTCAATCTTGATGCCACCATCTTTCTCCATGCGCAACCTCCTACCATTGAATGCTGCGCCCTGCGGGGCTTCTTTCAAATTGACCCATTTCCCAAAGTTGTACAAAGTGCGAAGCTGCTCCATCTTTTTCAAATGAATTCCTTTTCCACATGAAAGCAAATCATCTACCTCAATGGCTATCAGACCTGCTATCTTCCCATTTTCGTATATCTTGTATAGACAGGGATCCATGCGACTCTCTTTGTAGCCAAGCTGCACCAAAGACTGCACCAGTGATTTTCGCCAATGCAACGGGGCATCCACCAAACCATAACAACCAGCTATGATCTCAACGATTTGCTCGGCATCCAATCCTGGCAATCCCTCGCTCGGCTGCTTGAAGTAGAGCTTTCCATTCTTTCTCACCAACGGCAAAGACTGGCAAAATGCGTTCTTCAAATCACCTAGCCCTATTTCCATCTGCTCATTCACTGCAATCTGCAAGACAATGTTGAGGTTCATGGTATTGACAGTGGGAGAAAAACGCTCTAAATCAAAAATGTCTGGATCTTTGTCACCTCTGATACAAAAACGGCTTTTCATGGTGGGAGGTTCACCCGGAAGCTCAGCATGTTTGTACTTCCGCATCATTCTGGTCGGAAGGACGCGGTTCAGCTTGCCTTCCTTCTGCAATTGCTTCTTCACTTCAAGAGACTCTTCTTTTGAGAGGACGCGGACTGCACCGCTACTTAGGATCTTGGCCCATTCCGCTTCATCTGCTTTCTTCCATCCTTGTCAAGCCTCTGCAGGCTCATTCTCGAGCCGAATCTCATCATTCCGACTACCCTTTTCACTCGCCCAAACTTCAATGTCCGATCGCTTGGACGGCATTCGATTTTGGAAGAAAAACACAGTCTGTCCTTTCCACCATTTGCCTCTGGAGACCTTCTCACAACTTCCCCAGAAGTCTTGGATGCATTCCTCTTCTCCATGCACATGTGTGCTCCTCTCGTTCTTCAATCGCTCGAGAGGAATTGGCAACTGTTTGCATGTTTTTGGAGAAAACAAGGAACGCCTCTTCTGCACATGATGCCGGATCAGACGACCTTTTTCCTCATCCACTTCCCAGAAGTCACGCTTGGGAGTTTCTTCGGCCCATCTTTTCAACTTGCTCCAACGAGCATGGTTCTCTTCCTCTTCAGCTTCACTTTCGTCAGCTTCCTCGTGAGGAAGAACAAAATGGTATTCATGAAGATATGGAGCGCCTGGTCTAGTGTGCCGTTGAGCAAGGCGGACCGGCGGACCGGCTGTCCCGGAGCAGGGAGACCATCAAGCCGGTTTGCCTCGGCTTGGGATCTCTCATACATTCTCCTCCATTCCTCACTCATCTGCAAAGGCACTCTGGGTCCTTCCACAACTACTTCTGCACCATTGGTTACCTCATCCATCTCGGCTCTAGATCCCGACCTTCTTCGAGACATCTCTGCCTCAGGTTCTGGCACCGAAGGATCGACATGCGAGCTCGACGGAACGCTGCCCACTTCGATCTCGTCAAGAGGCGAGACCTCTGGTCCAAATGAGGGAGAATATCCATCATCCTCCTCTGGGGCAAAACTGACTCGGCGCATTGCCTGGGGTTCTTCAGCCTCCTTTTGGGGGTCTGCAGCCTCCTCACCGTTTTCTTCTTCCTCACCAGGCCACTCTTCCTCTCTGATGTCTTTGTACCCTTTTCTGTTGCCGGACCTTTTAAATTCCTCCACCAGCTCCTGACAGCTTCTCATCACTTCTTCAATGCCTTGTTTCTCCACATTGGTCGCCAGACGGCACTGTTCCCTGGCTACGCGCCAGAGCTCCCCAAACATCGACACCCACAAACTTGCACCATCTGTGGCAATAACGGTGCCAGGGCCAATCCATGATGCCTTGTTTGGAGTGTTCTCCTGGCTTTCTGGTCCAACTTCAAAACGGCGCTTCTTCCTTCTCGGCACTCGGTACACATATACGTACTCTCCAGACTTGAATTCTTGTACTGTGCGAGCTCGGCCTTTCTCAATCTTCTGAAGAGCAGTTTTCGCATTGTGTTCAACAAAAGCCTTCTGGGCAATCCTCCTCATCTCCAGTGATCTTTCCAAATCATCCACTACTGCCCCGTCCATGAGCCCGGGGTCGAGGATGTCATCTGACAGGAGTAGGCTGGGAATGCGAGGCCACTGACCTATCTGTCTTTGGATAGGCGAAAATCCAGAGCGATTAGAAAACCTGTTTTTGGCCATTTCTATTTCCCTCATCAGGATTCTCAATTCTTCTCCCGATGTGATCACTGTTTCTTCTCTGCCTTTTGCCAACAGCTCCTTGAAGTGTGCACCATGCCTCTCTGTTCTACCCTGTTGCCACGGTGCCTTTGCTGCGATGCTTTGAGTGACCACTCCCTGGGCAGCTGCCAGCTGCATAAACTTGCTGGAAAACTCTTTTCCGGCATCACAAATGATCACCTCTGGCAATCCAAAAACGCGAAACCAAACATCCCACATAGTTCTCCACATGACTTCTGGTTGTTTGCTCTCCACTCGCTCAACTGCTTGATAGTTCGATCCCCAGTCTACTACTGACAATGCTGGAAAAAGTTGCTTGCCACCTACCTCTGGAAGATATATCAAGTCCACTCCAAGAACTCGATTTGGCTGATAGGTGCGCGGGATCGCCGCAGGACGTGTCGCCTTCGGCTTTGGCCTGGCAGAACAAGCAGGACAAGAAAATTCTTTGTGAGCCCATCTGATGATCTCCCCTTTGATTCTCGCAGCCCGCATGAACCGGACAAACTCATTCTTCTGGGGATGACCTAGTCCAATGTGCATCTTCATGACTTGACGCTTCTCCTCCTCTGTGACTGCATATGAACCTTCAGCCTCCCCTCGGTCTACATCCTCTTCAGGAAGACCCTCTTCAGCCTCCTCTTCTACTATTTCTTCACCATCTTCAAACGCAAAGACTTCCCTAGAAAACCAGTGCTCTCCACGATCTTCTCGGATCTGATCTTTCAAACCCAAAATAATTTCTCTGCAAAACTCAGGTGGATACTGCTGCGCTTTCTTTGGACGCCCGTTCATGGTCGGCGCATGAAAATGACGGTGATCACAAAGCCTACCCATTCTCCTGGCAATGCATGAAGAATTAACCAAGAGTCCAGTCGGCTTCTTGTTGAGGCCGCACTCATCCACCTGCAGTCCAAACATGCATTGGTCGCATCTCACTTTGATCATTCCTGGAAGCTCAGCCATTTCCTCCACTGCTTTTTCTTTCCATGAACGTGCTGCCCATGGATGCTCAAAAAGGACATATCTGCCTCTTTTAACTTGCCACTTTGCTAAGAGACTAGCCAATTCCAGATGTTCCAGGCCCATGCAAACCAACTGAATGGCCGACTGCCATGACATTCTCGGGAAATTCAGCTCTTGCAAAACGGAAAAAGCAACACATGGAGGACAAATAACCAGCAAAAGAGGATCCTCTTCCTTCAAGGCTTTCCACATTTTCTTTCGATGAGCAGGGTTTCTCAGGTCCCAACCAGTCAGCAGGTCATAGGATCCGCCGGCGTTCAGCCCTGCTCTAGCTGCTTCTTTGGCCACCCTCGGAGGAGAGAACACCTCGCTCACCACAGGCACCATCTCAGAAAGCTTCTTGTTGAGATGCCTACGTTCTTTGCGAGAGATTTGTTTTTCCTTTGAGACGCCAAAGTGCTCTTCCACCACGTCTCGCTTGCTCACCATAGCAAACACTCGGATCGGCCGAGTCTCAGAAAGCGGAACCAAACCACCAACTTTGGCCCACTTGCCCTCTTCAATCTCGACCTCATAAGATCCTTCTACCGCAAAATGCGGATCTTCACCCATTTGCATCTTTCGGATGACTCTGCGGCTGCGTGCCTTGTCAGCGTTCAGCATGATCTCCTGGTTCATGAGCTCGACACATCCTCCACTTCCGCATCCGACGCATGTCTCCTTCTCTCTGTCCGGGGGCTCTTGCTGCGACGGCGGCTGCCCGGAACGCTGGCTTGGCTGCCCGTCCGGACAGTGGAATTCACCAGCGAAAAGCTGAAGTCGCTGGGAGGCGGACTCGGTGCCCTGGGTTCCCATTCGAAGTACTGGCACTCCCTCTGAGTGCACTTCCAAAAGAACCTGCCCTTCCGAGGGCCTTCTCTCTTCACTTGCAGCTTCTCCGCCTCCTTCCCGCACAGGCACTTCTTGCTTGAGCTCTGGCGATTCTGAAGAATCGCATATTCTCTCTCCAAGTCGTTCTTCTCCCGATGTAGTGCGGCCAAGGCAGCCTGATGTCTCTTCTCCTTCTCTTGCATCTCGATCTTCTGAGCCTGAAGCTCTTTCCACATCTGTTCTTGATGCTGGGCCATTTCCATCCGGTCCACTTGCATTTTCTTCTCCAGCTCTTGCTGCATTCTCTCCATCTTCCGTTCGGCCTCCTCGGAGGTCTGAATCGTGCCATAGGGGGGCTCCACAAGATCCCCGTCCTCCATCATGTAGTTCTCGGCCATCTTCTTTTGACTCAAGGGGCCCTTGCTCTTCTCTGCTTTCAAGTTCTTCTTCACCTCGGTTGCAGTGGAAGGGTTCTTCCAACGGCACAGACACATCTTGCAGTATATGTAGGACTGGCTCGTGTTCCCTCCACCCTTCAAAAGCATGGGGAGGGTGCACGCATGCACTGGCCGCGACTGAAGCCGGAGTCTGCGACTTCAGAGGCGTCAACATCTCTGCATGAACGATCAACTGGGCATAGATCTCCCCCGGTGTAGCCGGTTCCGCCTTTGACAGCGGCAAGGGCTGCCCCAAAGGTGAGGAGCATCCGGGGAACCATTCTTGCACCAAAAGTTGTTGTGCCGCATACCGGATGATGATCACCAGCTTGTCCATCAGAACTCGCCAGTTTCGAATTGCTCTCTTGGGACGATGGCCACGCTCCATTTCGGGAAGTGTGGGCGCCCGCTCTTCCATAGACCCTTTGGCCTTCCCGATCAAACGCTCGACCAGGGCCGCCATTGCTCCAGGCTGCACGTTCTGAGTCTTTCTCCAATGCAGCGTTGGAGGGGGTCGTGTGGTTCTTCAGCTCGCTATGAGCCAACATTGCTGTGACATTCGAATCTTTCTGAAAATCCGCAGTGCAACACGGTGCATTGGCATCTGATACCTCAAAACCTCCAGCCGCAAATTCCATGATCTCAATTGTGACATGTCCAGAGGCCAACTCATGCATGGGGATAACGATGGACATGTCAGGAATGGTGAAGGAGAGATTGGAGAAGTCAATGAGGACTTTAAGGCTTCGCAACATTCTAACTGGAAGTAGGAGAGGTACTTCACCTTCTACCACAGTGGCTTCCAACACTCCATTCAAACCTCCAATGCCGATGGGAATGAGGACCACTCCTAAAACTTTCGCCTGACCTCCTACTCCCTTTGCCGAAGATCTCTTCTGAAGCTTCTTGCATGACAAACCAAACTGCTCTAACTTCACATTCAGCCTTTCAAGAGCTCTAGAACCTATCAAACCTCCTTCAGCAGCAGTGTCGACTACTCCATGCTCCGACTTGGTTGTGATGCCGCAAAAACCCTCAGCACTCGCACCCTTGTAGTCCGCATCGGACTTCACAGCTCCATCCTCAGCACAGAAATTTTTCCTGCGCCGGTTCTCTACAAACTGACGCAACCAAAAACACTCTCGGCTTTCTGGTGACTGAGAGTCTTGAATGCCCCTCGCATTCTGTTCCGCAATCACAAAGAAGCCAGACTTTGCTGAGCTATTGGTTGTTGAGGAAGCACTGGAGCTGAAGGTGCCCTTGTTCTTTTCCATGGGTGGGTTGGTGCATTCTCTGCTGATGTGGCCTACAGCGCCGCATCTCCAACACCTGGTACGCAACTTCAGCTGTTCAACATGAACCCTTTGCTTGCCCTTGCCCTTGAAGCTGGACTTCCCTCCATGGCCTTTGCCCTTCTGGTAGAAGCCGCGTCCATTGCGCTGATCCCTCAACGCCTCACGGACCTCTCGGTAACTGGCAAGGGCTGCATTCATCTCTTCTTCGGTGAAAACAGCATCCAAGTCTCCATCAGCCACATAGACATAGTTCTCATCATCATCATCATCACACCAGTAGCTGTCATTCTCAGCCACCTCTGCATCTTCGTTGAAGTAGTTGGACTTGCTGCCCTTTTCCCTGACCACTTTGTCCAACTTGCGGAGCGCCTTGACTATGTCATTCTTGCCATATTTCCCATCACACCATGTGAGCAATCGCTGATCCTGTGACTCCGTCAGCGATGCCTGACGGTACATGATGTACCCTGAGGCTCCATCAGGAAGGCTAACCCCTTCCTTGGCCAGACGACTGAACGCCCGCTCCATACGGGCAATGTACTCCGCATAGCCTTCACTGGCTTGGCGGGGCTTGCCATAAACTGCAGCTTCAAAGGCCCGTGGAAGACTGACTTCCAAGTGCGGCAGGAAGAACTCTCTAAGCTTTTGAAGTATGTTTCGTACTCCATCTTCATTGGCTATGTCTTCAAACTCCATGTCTTCTACCGCCAACTGTGCCATGCCGCTCAACGACCTCAAAAGTTTTGCCCCCTGCTTTCTCTTGGGAACATCAGTCTCGAACTCCCACAGCCGAACGTTCTTCTCGAACGTCTTGAACGTGCCTTCAGGATCTGCGCCGTCGTATGCCGGCGGAGGATCCCTGTCTCTGGGTCCATCCCTTTCTCTGGCTCCTTCAGCTGCAACAGGGCCTGTTGCCCCAGTAAACGTCTGCCTTTCCTCAGCTCTAGCTGTTGGAGTACCAAACCCTTCAGTCTCTGGCATCCCTGGAAGCAACCAGCTGCCGCTACCACTGTTAGACACAGCGGAGAGGTGCAGGCTCGGTCGACAGCCTTTTGGTCACGCCATGGGACATGAAATCGAAAGTGTCCACCAGGTCTAGGGCCCCTGCAGTTTGAGGCGGAACGACCGCACATGTTCAAGGTCAATGATCGCTCACTGAATTGCACATGTTTTCACACAAATATATAATAATATATACACGTTCTAGATATACTAATTTACTCATACAAATCCAGTAATAAAGGATTAGAATCCTACCTGTTGTTCCATGGGTATCGGTACCTGCAACCCATGATGGGGGAACACATAAAGCATGTCATCCAGTTTGGGTAATGTAAGACTGAAGCCCGACTTCAACAAAATGTTGAAAGCAGGTGGATTGAACCGGTAGGGGAAGAGGTGGTTTGAAAGCAACTCACCTTCAGCAAATCCAGGTTTACCATCATTCTGCCAAGCTGCTCACGGTCAGATTCTGAGTTCAAGCGAAAATTCCACAAACCTTGGGTTTGGAAGGCTCCATGGGTTACTGCGGCTATGGGCAATGAATGCATTGAAAGATGTTGGAAGTGCATAGCAGTAGTATAGACATATGGCTATGAGTCAAAACCCTGGCACCCTAGGTACCCTAAAATACAAGTAGCTGATTAATGGAAGATTATTCCCCCCAATATGTTAATATGTTTTGACCTGTCCCCATATGCCTCAATGACGTGTGTGGCACTGTCCCAAAGTCCCAAAGATGATCTATGTACATCCATGTTTGACGTATGTTGTCATTGTGAACATTTTCTCCGGCCCCAGGTCCCCCAGGTCAATAGAAAAGGATACGATATACACTGGCATGTCTCTGGGGATCCCGACCAATGACCAAGCAACTCCAGCCTCAGCAACAGATCTGGGCAAAACGGCATCCAACTAGGAAGATCATTACACTGAGAAAATGATAGTTGTAGCTACTATTGTTTTATGTTATGAATATGTATTAACTAACTTATTACTGTAATATATTTCGATGAGTTTCCACGTATTTCCACGGATTTGAGGCGGTAGGAAACTGATTGGAAGTTGGGCCAGGCTCAACAGGGGTGGCCCAACTTATCCAAATGGGGTGATCACATTTTTTTTCAACAGCTGTCCCAAGGATGTGGCGCATTGGCTCGAGTTTCTCTGAGAACTGCTCAAAGTTGTAGTTTGCCTCGCACTGCAATGCTGTAGTCAACCACGTTGGCGTGTGTATTGGTGTTTTGTTTGTTTTCATTGTTCAATAGCGATAAGATCAAATCCCGATGTCATTCATATTTGTGACCTTCTACACAAAAATTGTTCTGCTTCGCATCGTTGTTCATGGCATATTGTTCTGGGGTCCGGTCCAGCTGCAATTTCAAGATACACCCACTGCAGTAAGTAAGGTGCCAACATTGCTAGATACACTTACACGTACCTGAATACCATTGTTCCCTATGTACCCCGTTGCTGGACGCTATCCCCGTACATGTTTCCCGTGTTTGGGCAAATAAACTGCATATTAATCCGAAACCCGATCATGTGATAAGTTAATTCATCATGCAGATGCTTCACTTCTGCAAACTTTCAAACTATATAATTCAAAGTAATGTAATACTAATGTATGTTTTCCATTGTTTTCCTAGGGGTTTTAGTTCTTGTCATTGGATCATTTCCTCAAAGATCTCCCCGGGGCCGTCCGTTTTGACATCTCCCCGGGGCACCATGTCATCGCCTCCGAGATTTGCCACCAAACCAGCACGAAGAAGACCGCGAAAACGATGGACACCTGCCATCTTCGGATGGTCCAAAACAAGGCCCATTGGTTGGATGATGTTGGATGGTATCTCCCTGATAGATGGTTTTTCCAGGTTTTTTTCCAGGAAAACACTGGCAGCACTGGCAAAAAGCGAACTTTCCATCTCAACACTAGGGCAGCATCATCGGGTCTACCTCAGAATTGTCTGGTCACAATGATCTGCTGAATAACTCCATCGCTCACCGGCGCGGAAACCTCCAAGGATCCATAAGATGCGACGGAACCATCATGTCTGAACAAACAGTATCAGCAAACATCCATGAATTTCATCATACTGGGTGATTTTCAGTGGACCTTGCAGGCATTTACCGACAAGAAAAGAAACACGACTCGGTACGTTGCCGTCGCACCATGTTGCCGAAGACGTACCAAAAGGCCACGTTTAAGTCTTTGCTGCTCTGGTCCTGGGGTCAAGCACTATGAATCACCACCTGGTTGGGTGAGAAATGAAACCCAAGGAGGTATAGAAGATGCTACCGAAGCACCATCAATTCGGAGTTTAGTCTGTTGAAGGGGGACAAAAAACCAACTAATGTGACTAAAACAAAAATAAACCATCCCCCAGTCATCAGCATTTTTATAGGTGCTAAAAACCATTCCCAGTCGACTGGGTGATGGGTGGTTGATTATTGTTTTTACCCACATTAACAACA